ATGAACTTGTGTTTTCAAAATCTTATCTCACTGGTGTTACATTACAGATAACTGTTGCCCTACTTGAAGTTCTTCACATTTTTCTAAAAATGTGGAGATTCTCACAGAACACAACATTCTTGATTATGATTCCCAGCCCTGAAAGAATATTTGATTGTCTATTATGTGGGAGAAAGCTGTGGCTGTTACTGAGTGTGTAGGCAGCTGGGTTTGGGGGGGCTGGTAGATGGGAGGAGGGGGATAGAAAAGGCAAATAAACAAATAAAATAATCTGTTGCTATGAAAGGGGTTCAGCAACAATAATATCAAGGGAGACAGGAGGGTGGGTTACAGAGGGTCAGGACTTCTAAGCAGGTGATACCTGATGGGAAGGGCAAACTCACGGGGAAAGATCCTGATGCTGGGAAAGATCAATGGCAAAAGGAGAAGGAGGCAACAGAGGATGAGAGGGTTGGATGGCATCATTGACTCAATGGACATGAGTTTGAGCAAACTCCAGGAGATAGTGAAGGGCAGGGAAGCCTGATGTGCTGCAGTCCATAGGGTCACAGAGTCAGATGTGACTGAGGGACTGAACAACAATACTTAGACAGCCTGAAGGATGAGACCCAAATTGGCTGGGGAGAGAGCATCCCAGGCTGAGGCATGTGCAGAGGTCCTGGGATAGGAATAAGAACCCAAGGTGATGGCAGTGTGAACGCGATGAGTCTGGAGAGGACACGATCACTCAGAGCTTTGTTTGCAGGCCACAGTAAGCAGTTTGAACTTTATTCTAAGTGTGACTGGAGCATTTTATTTTGTGACTGGAGCATTTTAATAGAGACCCATCAGGGCACTGTGGGCAGTAAATGTGGTGGAAATAGACATGGGATGAAGAGTTCAAATGTTGGGTATATTTGGAGTTAGAGCCAACATGGCTTGGATGTGGGAGGTGGAGAGAGAAATCAAAGATGAAAAAAAAAACAAAAACAAAGATGATTCCTAGATGTGGAATTTGAAGAGTTGGGCTGCTAAGGTGGGAGGACCAGGGGGAGAACAGGATAATTTATTTTGATATTGAAAATCACCAAGAATGATGATGAGGTAGTGGTACGGCCAACAAATCTCTTCAAATGAATGAATGAGAGTGTGCAAGTGTATCCGTAGAATTCATTATTCAACATTTATTTGAGCCCTTATTAAGGGCAAGGCACTGTGCTAGCATGGGCTTCCCTAGTGTCTCAGCAGTAAAAGAATCCACCTGCCAATGCAGGAGATGTGGGTTTGATCCCTGGGTCAGAAGATCCCCTGGAGAAGGAAATGACAACCCACTCCAGTATTCTTGCCTGGAAAATCCCATGGACAGAGGAGCAAAAGAGTCAGACATCACTGAAGTGACTAAACAACTGTGCAAGGCTCTAGAAATGGTACTGATGGATCACTGCCATATTTGCTTTTCTCCTTCACACCGCAGGGCATGTGGGATCTTAGTCCCCTCAACCAGGGATCAAACCTGTGTCCCCTGCATTTGGAGCTGAGTCTTAACCACTGGGCCACCAGGGAAGTCCTGACTCACATTTTTTTTTTACTGTCTTATCTCAACATAGACTACAGCTGCCTATTGAGGAGGGTTCATGCCTAATCCTGCCTTTATTCTCACTGCTCCTTCTGTCCCACTTCATCTAGTATATTAATAGATATACATTGGCCCAAGCGATACTTATTAATGGACTGAATCAAATGAAATAGATGCTACAGTGAGTGTAAATACACCAAACCAATAGTCTAAACTACTTGTATCTTAATATGGTAAACAATATATCCCTAGTAAAAAGCATTAAAATGATATACACATTTTTATTACTCTAATCTATAATTTAAGAATCTCCTAAAAACCAAAGCTTATTTTATTGGAGTATAATTGTTTTACAATATTGTGTTAGTTTCAGTTGTACAACAAAGTGAATGTTACATATATATATATTTTCTCTCTCTCAAACCTCCCTCACACCCCACCCCCAACCCACCTCTCTAGGTCATCACAGAGCATTGAGCTCAGTTCCCTGTGCTATATAGCAGCTTTCCACTAGCTATCTACTTTACAGGTGCCAATATATATATGTCAGTGTTACGCTCCCAATTCATCCCACCCTCTCCCATCTTGTTTATTTAAAAGATTTGTGAGTTCCCTGGCGATATAGTGGTTAGGAGTCCATGCTTTCACTGTTGATGACCCAAGTTCAATCCCTGGTTGGGGAACTGAGATCCCATAAGCCACATGATGTGTATGCCATGGCCAAAAAAAAAAAATTTTTTGTAAAAAAAAATAGTTTTAAAATTGTTTAAAAAGAGCTCAAGATACCACATTTCAAGCTTTAGACATATAGCCGAGTATAAATTAATATTTTAAAATTTATTTTTGACTGAACGGTGTCTTTGTTGCTATGCGTGGGCTTTCTTTACTTGCAGCCAGTGGGGCTACTCTCTAGTTGCAGTGTGTGGCCTTCTCATTTCAGTGGCTTCTCTTGTTGTGAATGGAGCTCAGGTTCTTGGTGGGTATGCTCAGCAGTAAGCACTTTGGTTTAATCACTGAGGCATGTGGGATCTTCCTAGACCCGGGATCAAACCCATATTCCCTGCACTGGCAGGTGGACCTCCAGTCAGTGAAGCACCAGGAAGGCACCTATGCTCACCTCTGTCCCACCAACACGGCACAGGCAACCACCAGGGAAGTCCCTCAAATTTTAAAATAATATTTCTTTGGCTGTGCCGGGTCTTAGTTGTGGTGCTTGAACTCTTTAACTGCAGCGTGTGGGATCTAGCTCCCTGACCAGCGATTGAATCCAGAACCCCAGTATTGCGAGCTCAAAGCCTTAGCCACTGGGCTGCCACAGAAGTCCCTACAAAATTTTACATTAAGATGTTGCAGGAAAAAAAAAGATGTTGCAGGTGTATCATTATTATTATTAAAGCCATTTCTATTTAAAAAAATCAGGAAATGGCAAATCAAAAAATGTTTTATTCACAGAAGTTCCTAAAAAATTTTACATTAAGATGTTGCAGGAAAAAATAAGATGTTGCAGGTGTATCATTATTATTATTAAAGCCATTTCTATTTAAAAAAATCAGGAAATGGCAAATCAAAAAATGTTTTATTCACAGAAGTTCCTAAAAAATTTTACATTAAGATGTTGCAGGAAAAAATAAGATGTTGCAGGTGTACCATTATTATTACTAAAGCCATTTCTATAAAAAAGCAGGAAATGGCAAATCAAAAAATGTTTTATTCTTAGAGCTTTACTCTTCTAACATTATCATTGCTATTTTAGCAGAAATGTTACAGAGGGTGCAAAAAGTAGAATGCTGGCAGCAGAAAAGCCACCTTTGTGTTGCTAAACTTTGTTATTATTTTTCATTTTTTAATTAAATTAAAAATTGTCTGAGCTTTCTTTATCTAGCCTAGGACCACTGGTGCATCACTGGAAACAGCAGATATGCCACGGATAACTAACAGCAGCCAACGTGCTGATGTTATTTGAGTGTAATATATCTAGCACCAGTATCCTCTTGGCTCCAAATAAAAATTAAAATGTACAGAAGTGTCTAAAAACAGGCATGCAGTGTGCAAATCTGAGGCCCAACAAGGAAAAAGTAATGTTTAAGAATACTGACAAAGATTCACAAAGGGCACATGTATAAGCCATCTGCTGTTGTTCAAGCCACGGCACTGTTCAAAGTAGTTAACAGCACTTTTCGTTTCTGGCTACAGCTCATGTCTAATGGGATCTCAGTTCCCCAACCCAGGCCACAGCAGCGACAGCACCAAATCCTCACCACTAGGCCACCAGAGGACTTCGAGCAGCACTTCTGGACATTATTTGAGAAAGGCGTATTCAGAAGATTAGCTAATTGCCACCTTCTCGCCAAGCCTCATCGTCTCCAAATAATTTACATCAGGAAAACAGATTCCATTCTACAAAGGAAGAAGGTGGTGGCTTCCAAACTGGCCAGATTTGGGCACTTATGGCTTGAGAAAAAGCCCAGTTACTTGAGAAGGAAGAGATCCTTGGAACAAATTACTCCAGTTTGGCTGTTAGGTCTCTTTAGTAAAAAGTAGTAATGATTTCAGTGATTTCATTGATATTGGCAAGATCAGTAATATTCTTACCTTCTAACATGAATTTTCAAGTTTGTTCCTATGTAAAGTACTTGTAGACTCAGAGGGCATGGTGTTCAAGCCTTTCAACGGCACTCCTGAAGCAACTTTTGGTTCGTGCACTCGGAGTTGAATACATTATGACATATATACAGTTTTAAGAAGCACTACTCCTTAGAAATTGTCAGGGAATTGTTGAGCATTGCAATGCTTATCACCCACCCTTACATTTTAATTTTCTTTTAATAACAGGAGGTATTGCTGCTTAACAATAAATTCCATTTTCAGGACCGTTAAAACCTGATTACTTGGAAAACAGGTGGGTGCTTCATGACTCTTAATGTCTGCTCACCAGTATCACCTCATAAATTATTTACCATTTTGCAGCTGTTGGTGAATTTTGCTTCCAGGATGTTTATGTGAAAGAGTATGAGTATTTGATATAAACCAAATTAATGAGCAGGGGAAAGAAGTTAGAATGAAAATGGCCTCCTTCTAACAGTCTTAGAGCTAAAGTATGTTGTAGTTATGTGTTCCATTGTGTACAGAAAAGAAAGCATTCTTTCCTTTTTGTTTAGAAAAACAATTCTCCACCAAATTACTATAAACTGTAGTAAAACACAATAAACTGTTTAAATGCTTCTGGCTTATCTTTTTTTTTTTCTGGCTTATCTTTAAAAGGAACACTATTTTGGTTTGCAATTTTTGTTTAACTTTCTTCACCTCTTTCACTGATTTGTCCCTGGTGAAAAGGCTGAAGATTTTTAACAGATCCCAGACATGAACAAAAAAATTCTCAGAAAGTTGGCTTGAAGTACAACTCTTTTCTGTCTGAAGAGGGTAATGATTACACTGACAGACGGTATAATGAAAATGCACCAATGCAGTTTATTTTAATTCTAATTTATGAGAATAACTTCTTAAGTGTAACATCAGAAGTCAGTCATAAATACTGAATTTGGAAAGCGCAATCAAGAAAAGAGCCACATTTTTATTGGAACTACACAATTTCCATAGTACTAGGTACCACGATTCTAGAACAAAACCAAAAACAAAAATCTGAAATATGCGTGAGAAAAGTTCTTAAACTCCAGGAGATGCACACGAACTGCCCCAAACTGGATACAAAAGGTTGTGTAGTGTATGCACAGATTTTTCTGGGGAAAGGTCCTGTAACTTGAATCAACTTCTAGAGGTATCCAAACAGTAAATGGTAGAATTCTAATCTCCTCCATTTTTTTCAATAATGGAAGCTGCGGACTTTGGGAAGTTCACCTTTGCACATTTAAGAGTCAATTTTCATGGGAAGAGGGTAGAAAAAAGTAACTTGTGAGGACTGGGCAGTGAAAAACTCTGAAGAGTTCTTTACCTCATAAGTTTTAGTAACATGTTCTGGTTTAGAGAGGGGAAATGGGGATATCAGTGGTAACATCATAAAGTGGAAGCAAGGAGACACCTACAGGGATTTTTCAAGTCCTTAAAAAAAACCAAACGTTAGTATGAAAAAAGCAAGAGCAAGAATTAAAAATGCAATTTAACTCAAGTACAATTTTCCATTTCTGCATATCAACAACATTCTTTATTTCTGAATGTCACAAACTTCAATCAGAATACTTTAAAAAATATTATTTTGCATGCACTTAACAAATCTGACAAAGGACGAGGAGCAAGTTAACTTGCATTATGCTATGGAGTTTGAACTGAACAGCCAATGAACACATATTTAAAACCATTAGGTACAGGTAACCATGAACACTTCACTGCATTAATCAGATGGCATCCTACATCTATGCACACGCTCATGTAACGCTACGAGTAATTACCCTGCAGCAGAGGCAAAATGGAGATGGAATCTCCCTAAAAAGCAAGTTTAAGGGATTAAATAGTGTCGTCATCATCATCATCATCATCACTACTGAGAACAAAGCTGCTGCCAGTGGACGAGGGCCCTTCCTCCTTAACATTCCCTAAACCACCCACAGTCCCTCTCTCATCAGAATCTTCAAACAATTTGTCACTGGAATCGTCATCAAACAACTTCTCATTGGAATCATCATCTTCAAACACCTTTTCATCTATGTCTTCATCTTCCTTTACATCTCCATCTTCTTCATCTTCTTTTCCGTCCGAATCTTCAAATACCTTTTCATCTGCATCATCTTCTTCGTCCTTTTCATCAGCATCTTCAAGTTCCTTTTCTTCTGCATCTTCTTCGTCCTCTTTCTCATCCGACTCATCATCAAATACCTTTTCATATGCATCTTCCTCTTCTTCCTTTTCATCTGACTCTTCGTCAAACTCTTTCTCAGAGCCTTCTTCATCAAACACTTTTTCAGAGCTGTCGTCTTCGAATTCTGATTTTTCAGACTCATTTTCTTCTAACTCTTTTTCCGGAATGTTTTCATTAAATTCCTTGTCGGAGGCATCTTCCTCAAAGCCTTTCTCAAGGCCATTTTCTTCTAACTCTTTTTCAGAGCCATCTTCAAACTGCTTTTCCGAGCAGTCTTCAGACTCTTGTTCTGAGTCGTCATCTTCAGAAGCCACCTTTTGGGGGCTGGCCTCCCCCTCAGACTCCTTGCCTGGGCCTTCTTCTTCAGACTCCTTCTCACGGCCGTTCTTGTCAGGATCTGTTTTGAGTTTCTTCTTTTTGGATTCTCTTTCAGGGACAGTCTCTTTTGACTCTTTGTTAGGATTACCCTCTTCACGCTCTTTCTCAGGGCTGCCTTCTCCAGACTCTCTCTCGGGGAAGTCTTCTTCACGCTCTCTCTTGGGACAGCCTTCCTTAGACTCTCTTTCAAGGCAGCTCTCTTCAGATTCTTCTTGGGGACCTTCAGCTTCTTTTTCAGGGCCACCTTCTTGAGCATCTTTCTCAGAAGCAGCTTCTTCAACTTCTCCCCCATCTTCCATTTTTTCAAACTTCTTTTCATCTATAGGTTCTTCAAATGCCATTTCAGTTGCGGCTGCTTGAACATTTGTTTGAGATGTGCCAGGGTGCTCAGAAAAATGCCTAACTCTAGAAGGCCCTGCCCTTTCTGGAGCACGGATGGAATTTGAACGCTGCAGGCCTCTGTTGGCCTCAGGAGCGTTGAGGAAAGCCTCCCATCCTCTCAGCCTTTCCTCCCTTTCTCTTGTGGTCTCCTCCACCTGTGTACACATGGAAACTGCTGTTAAGAGATGTTTTAGGCCAAGAGAAGTAACGTCTTGGAACATTTCTAATATTGCTGACAGTACTCTGATTTTATAAGGTATCACTTCTGGGAAATGAAAGCAATTCCCTATCTTCACTTTCCAAACTTTACACCTTAACTTACTAGCGCTGACCTTAAGATTGTTTAAATAAATGCCCAATGCCACAGCACTGCAGAAACACCTCATCAATTAAAAAGTTAATCATTGAACTGTCTGTACTTCATAAGACAGAAAAGAAGAGAAACACTTTAGCTTAATGTGTTCTTTCCCTATTGCTGTTCTGAGCAAGCTCAACACTTCAGACTTATAAACTGAAAGAATGAAACATTTTTCTTTCCATACTCTGAATGTAAAGGATTATTTAAAAGTACTGTTACAATTAAACAGATGACACATAACCGAAAACTTACATGAAAAACTGCTAGATCAGTATCTGTTGGAATGAAAGAATTCATGTGCCCTTGACAGTTGCAGAACTCACCTGATAATCTGTAGTTCCATCCCACGCTTGGGCAGTGATTTGACGCCCACCAAACCACCTTCCATTGAGGGTTTGAATACAATAATCAGCTTCCTCTGGATCCCTAAAGGACACAGAGGCCACACCATCGGGGTGTCTCTAAAAAAAAACAAGGAAGATAAAAGAAGGAATGAATGAAAAAACTGAAAGAGAAATATACGCATGTGGCAAAGTAGGGAAGTAGTATTCTTTCTGATCATTTAAGCTAAAGATTTTATGTATGAAGTCTTTCTTTCCATTTACTCCAGCCAGTGACACACAGCTAGCTACTTCTTTAGCTTAACTTTGTCTAGCAAAAACCAAGCATGATATACTTGGAAATGTTCCTGCTCATAACTGTATCAAAGGAGAAGCAGACAGCATGGTTGTTAAGAATGTGGGCTCTGAAGCTGAATAGCCTTGGGATTAAATCCTGGCTCTGCCATTTACCAGCTAAATGACCTTGGGCAAGGTGCTCAATCTCTAAACTCCCTCATCTGTAAAATGGGTAAATAAATAAAAATGGGTAAAATAGCACCTACCTCAGGGGATTGGGAGGATTAAATGAGATAACATGTAAAGTGACTGTAGTTTGCAATCAATAAGTGATGACTCTTTTATACTTTCACCTGGCCATATACATACTCAAGAGTGATGATAAAGGAAAATAACCAAGTCTATCAAAGTCTTGGCTTGTAATCCACGTTCATCTAATTGCTGCTAACAGACCACCACCACTAGAGAGCAGACCTACTACATAAAAACATTAATACAAAAACTTGGAGGCATACTGACATTTGGTAATAACTTATTAAAATGGAAAAAAATTGCTTTAGGAATCATTTGTTCAAGCCATGAACTTACATCAAAGAGAAGGAGCTTCCTAATTTGTCCAAACTTTGAACACTCTACTCGAAGGTCTTCTCTGATTTCATTCAACACCAGTGGATCATCCTACAGAAACACACTCAATTAAAAGGGGTTTTCCCCTTTATAAATCCTGAGAATGAAATTTATTGCTCTGACAAACCAACAAACAAAAGTTTTGCTTAAGGTTATTAGCTATGTTTGCCTGCAGTCTACAAAATTAAAAAAAATCAAAGGCGAAAGAGGTTAGACTATCACAACTGCTGCTACTACTACTGGTCTGCCTGGCTTTAAGGCGGGGGGATGGACAAGTATGGTAGGCAGCAATGGGAACATGCAGTGGCAAAGGAGAGTTGGAAGGAGCATGTCAGTGAAAATCCCAAATAATAACAGCTGTAACAGGTGAAGTCCTGTGGCACATGTTAAGTCAGAGACTGCTAATTCTTATGTTCTGCATGGGCATTACAATGACTGTGAAGATGAAAAATCTTTGCTTTGTGCTTTGCATAGATTCCTATTTACTAAAATGTTGCAAGGGGGAGACATATATCCTTTTCACTGACTGAAATGAAGTGAAGTGAAAGTTGTTCAGTCCTGTCCGACTCTTTGCGATCCCGTGGACTATACAGTCCATGGAGTTCTCCAGGCCAGAATACTGGAGTGGGTAGCCTTTCCCTTCTCCAGGGGATCTTCCCAACCCCGGGATTGAACTGGGATCTCCTGCATTGCAGGCAGATTCTTTACCAACTGAGCTATGACGGAAGCCCTTCATTAACGGAGTGTCCTACAATTATTCTCTGTGCTTCTGAGATTCTATTTTAACTCATAGGGTAAACCTCCCTTATAAGGATTCCTGTTCATCTTGCCTCCTACCACACTGCAATAGAAACACACAAATAAGGAGCTGCTATTAACCACACAATAACTTAACTACTGCTTTCTTGCAACTATGTCTATTAAGAATACTCAAACACTGCTGCTTCTAGTGGTCTTGAGTCCCCCTCCCCCAACAACAAAAGGACTTAAGATTTCCTGTGGGAATTAAATTTTTCTTCAAGTTCCAAAGCATGAAAAAGGCTCGTAAAAAAGTTACATTATCAACCTGAATTTCAACTACATACAAACAATACAAGGATATCCTATCTACTAATTTCTATTGAAGCAGACCTGAACACTTTTTAGGAAACATTTGAATCCTCACCAACTAAAGAGAACAGCAAAAAATGACAAGTGGCTTCTCCTTCTTAAAGTTTGTCAAAAGGCAAAAATAAACAACTGGCAGGCAGTTACTGAAATCAAATTTAAAATTAAAACTGTAGAAATCCTATAAATCTGAGGCTTCTAAAACTATAGCTGGCGGGACTCTGGATTTCTCCCACTTACAAAATCTAACTTTGGAGAATATGCAATTTGTTTTATACAAAATTCTCAAACCTGAGAGGAATGGGGAATGGAGCATAAACTCCATACTCATTTGGTAAAGCCATGGGGAGGCTTCTAGGGATGTGTGTGTGGCGGGCAGCTCCTATCAGATTGGGTGCTTTCTGCAAGCAGGAATCTCCCTTGACTGAATTTCAAATACCTCACAGAACACAGCACAGTCTTTTCACACAATGAACAGTCGATAAAAAACTTTCTCAGTTTGATAAACTGTTCCTAATAACTCTATTTTCTTTCCCAAAGGAAATCAGGATTATATTAAAAACAAGAACTGTTTCAAAATATTTGACAAATTTAAGCATGATTCCACAGTAGAGGGAGGGGTGCATTACTGTCTTTCTTTTTTAAGAACTTTTTAATTTTTATTTTTGGCTGCATCAGGTTTTAGTTGCAGCATGCAGGCTTAGTTGCCTGGTGGCGTGTGGGATTTCAGTTCCCCAACCAGGGACTGAACCAGTGTCCCTTGCATTGGAAGGCGGACTGTCAACCACTGGACCACCAGGGAAGTCCCTGTCTTTATTTCTTTATCAAAGTCTCAGTGCTCTTCCTAAAAGAACATAAAATTTCAGCCAAAGACTTCCCAGACTTCTGTTTTCATTTTTACCAGCTTGAAAAACAAATGTGTCTCTACTGCTATAGTATCATGAGACTTAAAGATAATAACCCCTTCCCCTGGTTAAGTATCTTTAACTGAGCTAAGCATGAAAATTTTCCAAAGACAGCTCTTTGCAAGCAACAGACCTGAGACTAAACTCAAGACAGTTAAGCTGAAACCTTCTGTGTTCGACACTCATAATTTTTTTCCAGGGTGGTGCTTTGTTTTCCCAGGAAAAAAACTGTATTTCTCATTCCTTTCCAATCTAAACCTATTCAAGACAGTCACCAATAACCCCATGTGGCTACTGAACCCTTGAAACGTGGCTTGTCCAAATTGATGTGGGCTGTAGATGTGAAGTAAATATCAGATTTTGAAAATTTAGTACCAAAGGGGGAAAAAAACAATGAAACATAGCTTATTAACATTTTTATGGTATACACTAAAATCATAATATTTGGATATATTGGATTCAAGAAAATTCATTATTAAAATTTACTTCCTTCAATGTATGACAAAAACCACTGCAATGATGTAAAGTAATTAGCCTCCAACTAATAAAAATAAATGGAAAAAAAATAAAAAGAAAAAAAAAAGAAAAAAAATAAAATTTACTTCCTGTTTCATGTTGTATTTATACTGTGGCTGCTAGAAAAATTTAAGTTACATATGTGGCTCAGATTAGACTTCTTTTGGACAGCCCTGTTATACACAATGAGAAATCCACCTCTGCATCTGAGTTTTGGTTTTCCATCTCTCAGTATTCAAATTTGCCAGGCATGATTTTTTTTTTAAATACGGCTTTGAATTAAACACTGAAAACCCCTTAAAGTTACATTTAAAATACTAGCCTTCACTGTTCACCCTGATACCAAAAGGTATTTCCAGGCATTTTGCTTCTAACACTAATCGGCTGTTTGGAATAAAGACATACAGGCATACCTTGGAGATACTGCAGGTTCGGTTCCAGAAGAGCACAATAAAGCAAATATTGCAATAAGGCAAGTCACACAAACTTTTTTGGTTTTCCAGTTATGTTACACTATAGTCTATTAAGTGTACAAAAGCAACATATCTAAAAAAAGATATGCCTTAATTAAAAAAATACTGCTAAAAAATGCTAACCATCACCTGAACCTCCACCAAGTCATCATAGTAACAAAGATTACTGATCACAAGTCACCATAACAAATAGAGTAATAACAAAAAAGTATAAACTACTGTGACAATTACCAAAATGTGACAGAGAGAGAAAGAGAGTGAGCAAATGCTACTGGAAAGATGGTACTAACAGGCTTGCTCCACACAGGGTTGCCATAAAAACTTCAATTTGTTGTTTGTTTTTTTTTTAGGAAAAAAAAAAAGGTTCAACCCCTGGTCAGAGATCTAAGATCCCACAAGCTACATGGTATGGCCAAAGAGGAAAAATAATAATAATAAAATAAATAAATTTAAATAATCACATGTGGCTATAGTCTACCACACTGGACAATCTACTACAGTGGACAGGCCTATACTGATACACTTTCACATTCAGGCCTACGAAACACTGAGCAAAAACACAGAAACTGCTGACAGGCTCTCATCAAGCTCGGCAGACCACACAAGCCCAGGTAGATGGGCAAACAAAGACGGTACCAAGGGTTTCTCTGCCCAAGAACTCTGAAGCCCACCACTGCCCTCCCCAGCCTCTGTGGCACAGCTGTCTGAAAACTTTCCTTCATTTGCAAAGATGCTCAAGAGAGAATATTCTATTCATTGAGTGAAAGAAAACACTCTGCCTTGTGAGTAAAAGGGGCTTCTTTCATTCTTTCACTTCTTCAGATGAATGTTGAGGGCCTTCCGTGTGCTAAGCACTGGGACTATAACAGCAAACCAGGTAGACAGAGCCCTGCCTCTCATGGAGTTCATATTCTAACAGATAAGATCCAATAATTTCAGATAATAAATGCTATGAATAAAATAAAACCAGTTAATATAAAGGCTCTATAATTCCAAAGTTATACTAAACCAATCAAGATTTTCTTTTTTAAACAATCAAGAACTTACATGCATAAAATCTCTATGCTTAAAAACATCCACTGGAGGGAATTTGTAGAAGTCAAGGAAGAATAAATGTGCTTTTGGGAGGAAAGATTATTTGTTAAGCTAGGAAAAATTAAGTCTGCCCAGGGTGATAGCTAGACCTAAGTGTCTCAATGAGCAAGGCAGGAGGCAGAAACAGGTTAAAGGTAATTACTCAACAGACTTCAACTTGCAGAGATCCCACATACTTAATAAATTAAATTTACATTTATGTTCATGTTCAAGTGTTAGGAGTATAGAATGTTGTGAATCTAAGGTCTCGAGTCACAGAAATTAATAGGTCACCTAACTAAAAACACAATTATATGCCAAGGAAACAAAATGTAGATGAATCACAGGGAATTCTGGAGTTGCATTAAGTAGACTAGATACCATGATCCATTTATACATGCCTTTCAAAGACCCAGCTGGGAGGGACAGCACTGCAAAAAGCATTTAGTGTGCATGTGAACATGTGTGGGGTTTTTTTGGCCATCCTTGCAGCTTGAGGGATCTTAGTTCCCTGACCAGGGACTGAACTTGGGGCCCCCAGCAGTGGGCGCTCAGAGTCCTAACCATTGGACCACCAGGAAAGTCCCTACATGCATTTAAAAAAAAACAACATAGTTCATTATCACTGCAAGTCTAAACTGGCTCTGTCATATTTCAAGATTCTTCAGGATTCAAGTCAGAAGAGACACCACACAGTACTAGTAGACCACATGTATCTTCTCAATGACCTCAAAAGATACAGGCTCCACAGATGCACAGTAAATCCTATCACCTCACTATTTACAGAGATGGAGCTTCACAGACCATTTTGGAGCTCTCTCAAAGGAGGCTAAAATGATATTGCTATCACTTCTCAGCCTTTTACAGTATACTAACGCATATATATGGAATTCAGAAAGATGGTAATGATAACCCTATATGCAAGACAGAAAAAGAGACACAGATGTATAGAACAGACTTTTGGACTCTATGGGAGAAGGCGAGGGTGGGATGATCTGAGAGAACAGCATCGAAACATGTATATTATCAAATGTGAAACTGATCGCCAGTCCAGGTTCGATGAATGAGACAAGTGCTCGGGGCTGGTGCACTGGGAAGACCCAGAGGGATGGGATGGGGGGGGGGACAGGGGTTCAGGATGGGGAACACATGTAAATCCATGGCTGATTCATGTCAATGTATAGCAAAAACCACTACAATACTGTAAAGTAATTAGCCTCCAACTAATAAAAATAATTCGGAAAAAAAATGATATTTCTACTCTGATTCTCAGTGTACAGAAGGAACAAGAGTGGGCTTTGGTAGGAACAAGAACATATGCAAACTGTCTGGAATTTTACATTAGGAACATTGCTTTCTTATGTGTAACTTGTTATCATTAATTTCAGAATCCAGGCAGAGAATAAAGAATTGTTCTTCCATGAATGATCCCATGAGTCTAGGCCAAAACACACAGAAAAGAACAAGATGCAGAATGTAACACAAGGTACCCTGATGGCAATTAATATTCCTTAATCCTCTCTGGTAGCTCTGCTTCCTTTATTCACTTTTATTTGCTGTTCCTAGAATCATCCATGGACATCAAGTATTACGAAGTCCTCCTAATAGCCACTAAAGAGTTTTGTAAAAATTAGATTCTGAAAAACCACCTCCACTACTCAAATGTTGGGGACTGTATTTCACTTGGAGAAGGAAATGGCAACCTACTCCAGTATTCTTGCCTGGAGAATTCCGTGGACAGAGGAGCCTGGTGGGCTGCTGGCCGTGGGGGTCGCACAGTCAAACATGACTGAAGCGACTTAGCATGCATTGGAGAGGCAAATGGCAACCTACTCCAGTGTTCTTGCCTGGAGAATCCCAGGGATGGAGGAGCCTGTGGGCTGCCGTCTATGGGCCTGCACAGAGTCAGACATGGCTGAAGCGACTTAGCAGCAGCAGCAGCAGTATTTCACTAACCTAAGGTTTTTTAAGGATCAAACTTTCAGCACTAAAGTGAGATTTTCATTTCCAATTGTGAAACTGGTCCTCCCCACCAAAGTAAGCCTGTATTGTTGAACTGTACTTAACATCCACAAGTGACTCACAGAAATCTTTTCAAGACTATATTTTTAATATAGCAGCTGCCATTTGGGGCCACAGTATGGGTATTAGACTGGTTTACTTGGGATATGACTAAAAGAACACTGGAATAAACCTGGGAAAATCTGAAACCTTCAACTGATTCTTGGTTCCATTTTCCAACCATGCCAACTCATGAACATGCAGGATGTGACATGAGAAAGATGTGGTGAGGCAAGCTTTGGGTTATCTTGAAAGAATATCTGTGTTTCTAACTGTAAGAATACTTCTTCCTACCTCAAAATCCATTGGATGAAACATGTTTTTGATGATGACAACTCGCTCATGGCGCATTCGGGATGGGCCAGCTCGTCTCTCAGGTCTCCAATCCAACTGCCTAAGGTGACAAAGTAGGAACAAGAAGTTGTGAATTTCATTTCAGACTTGTTGGAGAGAGGAAAAAACAAGCTATAAATATAATCCTTTATTGAATGCTTAATAATGATTATTATTTGATTCCAAAACAATGTGTATTTTAGTCACAGTTACTGCACAGTTTTCTGAAATAAAAATAATGGGCAGGTGAAAGACGGACCCAGTATCTGAAATGCCCAGAGTAAGTATATTTTTCAGAACTGCTGTCTGGTTACAAACATTCCAATGAGACTTCTGGAAAATTGGTAATTATTTAGTATCTATGACTATCTAGGAAGAGACATTTAGAGGCCAAGGAAATGTTCAAATTGTATTAGTTTCTAGGTATTTTATAATTATAAAGAACAACTGCACTGAAATATATAAAACTACTCTGTTACAATTTTAAATCTTACTGATTTGTCTATAAAATGCTTAGGTATCTACTTTATTCCTATAAAAACTATTGGCATCACAACTAAATTCTTTTATAACCATTTTACCATTAATTTAAGCATAGTGTTAGAAGCTTTATTAGAATTCACCATGATCTAAGTGCCCATCATTTTGGCTCATTTCTTAAAACCAGTATATTTCAAAAAACATTAAATTAATAGAAACTTGATGACATGTGTATATTATATACAACCACACAGTACACGAAAAATGATAAAGCTTATAATTTCTAAGTTCTAACTCCTACTAACTAGTATGAATGTAAAAATTTAGCTCCTGGTACGCTGATTCCATCCACATTAAAAAATGAACTAATGGCTCTCGTATATAAACCTGAACCATCTTATTTAATTTGATATTCAATATTTTCTGTAGAGATGGCTTTATTTTATTTAAGTCCTTGTTAAGTATTTAACAAGTATTTAACAAGTTTTAAGTATTAAAAACGAACACCCCAGAAAATGAAAAACACCATCACTGCCAAACAGCCTATTACACAGATTACTGAAGGCTTCTGAGGATCTAATTAAAGCTTAAAAAATTTTTACTTTATATTGACATATAGTTGATTTATAATGTGTTGTTTTCAGGTGTATAGTAAATGAAAATTCTTTAAAAATAATCTGCAGGCATATTTGATGAAATAAAACTATGCAGTTATTACCAAAAACATACTCTAGAACATTTATACAAAATCTTTCAAAATGGGGGGAAAAAAAAACAACCAACTTTTGTTGCATAGACAGCTTTTTCTTGTAGTCTTTGCACTTCTTCTTCTTCTTTGAGGCATCATATTCTCCCTTCAACTGAAATTTTGCCACCTCCACGTGTAACTTGTAGCCTCTAATTTCATCATCATCCAAAAGTTTTAACGCCAGATCCACAGATTCTCTCTTTGTAAAGTGAAAACAAGTTACAATCAGTAATTTACAAACTGAAACTTTAGGAGTGTTTTAGATGAATGATGACTATACACAAAATAAAAATGTAAATGTAACTACCTACATGGGAATAAAGAACTCCAGAATGCCTATCAGGAAATTTGTATTTAAGTCACAACTGTCCCCAACCAGTTATATGAAGCTAAGCAAGTTATTCAAGCTTCCTGAGCCCCAATTTCTTCATCTATAAAATGTGAATGGAATTGCCTTCTTTGCAGAGTTCTTGACAAAATTAAAGTTATACCATTACTGGAATTGCAGTTTTGCCTTTTGGAGTCTCAATCTCTCATCCGTACAATGAGGCAAATGGACTTGCCTGATTTCTAAGGTGCATTCCAATTTTAAAATTCTAAAAGTTTCCTACTTAAAAGACTAAATGACTGAAGAAACTGGGAATAGCTTGGTCAGCCTTTAATTTTTTTTGTTCATCAATTAAAATGTAGGTCTGTGATATACTAGGAAGATGATTATCTGACAGCTTGAACATTACACACATTTGTGGATTCTGGGTCCTATACAGGGGGCAGTTGTCAGCTCCGCACTGATTCAAAGATCTGAGGAAAACTCAAAAGGACAGCTGAATTCAGCCACACAATCAAATATGGATCCTAGAACAATTAACTATGTTATTCTGGAACTCAATTCACTGGTTTGATAATCTTGTACTTTCATGGGTCATAATTTTATATATAAAGTTTATATATAAACCCTGTTTTTCTCTTTAAAAAATTTAAAACCCAATGAAATCCCCTAAGACTCTTCACAGATTTTTAGTAAACCCTGAAGAACTTACTAAGTGTTCAAGCTCCTTACATTTGAAAATTACATAAATATCTTCCTATAATGGTCATAGTCTTGTATGATCCCCATCATGTTCAAGAACAAGGTCAAAAACCTATCTTTCCCAATGCTGTCAGCTTACTCTTAGCCTCCTCTGATTTCACTGAAATGCTGTATACTCGCAACACACTCGTGACGTTGGTACTGTTGTTTTAACACTTTGATTTCACTTTGTAATTATTTTCAGGTTCCAAGACATATGTAATATGCCATCATTGTGCCCGTTTCTTTTGTACCCTGCAATAATGCATAGTAACACGTGCTCCTAAGGTGACAGGTGTTCCAAAAATAATGGCTGCCTTGACACTGAACTTTCCCTTGTGCAATTTATGGTACCATGAATACATAAAGTTCTGCAAATGTCTGTTAATACCACACTCTCTTCTCTCTCATTCAAAATATATTTCAAAGCACTAAGCCTAAATTATCACTTCCTTTATGGTTTAATTCAGGGGTCAGAAAACTTCTTTTGTAAAGGGCTGATGAGTAAATATTTTAGGCTATGTGGGTCATGTGGTCTGTGTTACAACTATTCAACTTTGCTGCTGAAATGTGAAAGGAGGTATAGACAAATGTATAAATGAATCAATGTGGGCGTGTTACAATAAAACTTCATTCACAAAGATAGGCAGTGGGCAGAAGTTTGCCAAACCCTGGTCTAACTCATTCCAATGGGAGAATAAAATGTTACACAGACTTTTTCTTTGTGGATTTTTTGAATGTGTTCTGTGTTGATTACATCCATACACTCCTAAAGATATATTTGTAGCAAGAATTCTTTTAAGACAAAAGAAGCACCTCTATCCTATGACTTGCGTAATACCTTGACTTGGTAACATAGTTTCTTACAAGAGCAAGTAAGTAACTTTATCAATGCGACACACACAAGCACAATCAGAATCAAGAGTTTTCTTCCCATCCTGTTTTGAATAGCCCTCACCCTTGGTTATCAACTATACAAAATTATAGCCCTGGTTCCTGAGCTGAAATGGAGATAGAAGAAACTTACATGACCACATAACTAACCTTCAAATAACAGCAAAGTCCATCTCCTTTAAGATTTCCTTGATTATCTTTGTAAAGCTTGACCTTAAATTCTTCTGTTTGAGGATCTCTCATAATAATGCCAAACTTTGACATGAGCTGTATAAATTCATCCACTGTAATATCTGGAGGCAAACCTGTGATGTTAAGGAAAAAAATTATAAAGGCATTTATAACAAAGGTGAGGGTTACTTAAGTTTCTACTAATTCAAAATCTGTAATTTGGATGAGTGATGAGTGCACCAAAATTTTGGTTTTCTAAAAGTGTGTAAAAATCTCACATCTGTAGACTTGAAGAAATTTCATGTTTTAATGTATTCAAATATACATTAAAATCATGCTTTGATTAGGCCTTGTATCAATGAATCTGAAGGGGCAAACTGCTGAGTTACCTAAAGCCATCAGAAAGGATGGCATGCAAAGTTATATACATGTACTTTTTCTTAGTTTTATAAAAAAAAAACAACATATTCCTCACTAGTGTAAATGGCTGAACAAATAAATGACACAATGATACAAAATAGAATTCAGGGAAATGGAAATCTAAAAATAACTTTGTGAAAAACCTCAAAATCAAATATCTTCTATTCTAAATGTGGTTAAAAGGTATACATACCAGACACATAAACATTTGTATTTCTGTCTTCTTCAACATGAAACCATCCTAAAAATAAAAATCAAGTAAATAAATAAAACACATGCAAGAAAAGGTAAGAGTCCCATTATGAAATCCTGACAGTGTGGCAGTTTCTCAAAACTTCCAGAAACTTTTTCTTACCCTTAGAATAAGACAGACTTAATCAAATCACTGGCTAGTTTTCAAAGTATTTGGATCTTTGGACAAGTAATTCACTTCAGAGCCCTGTCTGAAAAAAGATGGCTAGCTTATCTTGGTTCTTTATGCATCTGATACTACCTTAAGAAAAAAACCTTACCATTGCTCTGACTATAAGCTTGGCATAGGTTGCTTCTGACTCCAATCTACTGTGTCAAACCTGGCCAAGCTGAAGCAAAATTGACTTGTTTAATTTACTTAGAAGTACAAAAAAAAAAAAAAAACCAACCATATAAACAGAACTTTAAATAATCTCCTAATAAGAATTCTGTCCTGCAAAGGAAGAAACTGAGAACTGAACTGAATTGAAACAATCTGCTTGATGCCTACAGGTTAGTGGGAGAGTCAACACATGAACCCAAATAATAATAATAATTAAAAATACCCATCTTATGATTCTGTCGAAGTTCTAACTCTCCAAAAAGTAAATACATATACACATGCTCATATTTTTTAACTTTTATATTCATGTTTTTCAAGCTAAATCTACTTGCCTGATTCAGCCTTTCTCTTTTCTCCCTTCTTTTTCGGATCACTGAGTTCGGGGGGTTGTCTTTGCGGAGGTTCTTCTGCAGTCCTAGCACTGACATCTTGGACACTTGCCGTAGAACTAGATGCACCATCGTTAGAAAAGCCATAATTGGCCTGATATGTAGCAATGAAATCTTCAGTGATCTAAATAAGAAGTTTAGTGCACACACACACAGAAATTAAAAAATGATTTCCTACTGGGAAAAGTCTACACTGTGTTAAATAACAGTATATTCAGTTATACAATGTCACATTTGAGTGTTTCTGTGGGTAACAGTAATTAAAGCATATATGAAGAATAGTCACCTACATAGAAAACTGCAAAAGAGAATAAAAAAATTAAGACATGGGTACCCGGATTATCAACACAAAAGTCTGAGATACTATTAAAGGCATTTCAAGTGATGTTGGCACCTGTCCTAGTTGTTTCAATTGTAAATTACTATCTCTGTAGTCTACTTGACTAAGACTACAAATATATATATCAAAGGAAGTACCTGATAACAATAAACAGAATAAAAACCAACAGTCAACTAATAATCTAACAACAGAATCAAATTTTCTTTTATTACACAGATGAACATAAGTGTATGCACTCTAAATATTTAAATACCTGTAGGCAGAGAACACAAAGACTAGAACTCTGATTTGATGTATAAAGGATGGGGCTAACAATTACAAAATTAAATGCTATTTTAACACCATTACAAATTAAATCACATTATCATTTAATGTCAAAACAAATCAAGAACAAATCCAACTCACATCCATCCTCCTGGCTCTTAAAGAAAAAGACACAATTGCACAATGAAACAAACGTAGTTATATCTTCATACCAGTCAATGTGAGGAACACATAGGAATGAGGAAAATTTAAAACTTAGAAGTTTGAAGTGGTATGGGTTCCATAACATAAAAAGATAGAGCCAAAAATGACTCTACTAGCAGATGACTGCTGAAGTACTCAGAAGGCTGAAGAAACCAAATCTGCACTTTAGCTGGCACCACCAGTACCCAAGTGAAATGTTACGTTTAACAATTCAGAGGGATTGGAACATACACACAAAAAATGGGGAAAAAAATAGTTGAAATAAATAATTAAAAAAATAACACTCAAATTACACAATGCAGACACGGTTTGCATCACTGGCTTGCAAGTCTATTGGTGGGTGGTAAGTATCCTGTTTTCCACCTGTACCACGAGACTTTGATTAACAGGGTACTCTGACCAAAAAGTTTACAGAACCAAGTTTAACATCGGTCATTTTACTTCCAAGCTTAAACAGAATGCTTAACAATTTACAGGTACTCTAAATAAATACGCACAGATCTTTTCCATCCAAATTCTGTGCTCCTCCTGTCATATTCCTGTAGTGATATGGTTCAAATATACGTGTCTAGGACCAACTTTAGTAGGGAAGAAAAAAAAGATTCAAAGTTCAACCAGTAAAAATTTACCAATTTATCAATTTCTTTCAACTCAAGAAGTTGCATTTTGCACCTACCACTTCAGTTAACCATCTGAATTCCCAGGATAAGTAAGATTGAGACTACCCGAGACTAATATCGATTGAATTTGCTCTTGGTGTTTTTCCTCTTTGCAATAAAAAGCAGTCACTGACAAAAACCAACTGCAACCGTTATAGATAAAATTAATAAGGCATAAAAAGGACTTAAGAATTACATTACATTGAAGACATCTCCCTAAAGATTTCCATTCCTTTACACGTCGGTTCTGCCACAGATACAACAAAAAGAAACGTCACTAGCCAGAGGGGCTCTAACCCAGGACCTCAGCAAAGAAAACGTGAAAGGAGCGCCCCGCGAGGCTGGCCAGGTGGGCCCGCTGTGCAGCGGCGCCCGAGCGACTCTTACCTTGGGGAACCAAGCCTTCTTGTCGAGGTCCCACTCGTACGGGGTGTCAGTCGGCTGCTGTCCGAAAGAATCGGTTTCTGCACCGGGATCTTTCTCGGTGTCGTCGTCCTTGGTGTCTCCGTACAATTCTTGCATTCGCAACTGCTCATCAAACTCGTCGTTCGCATCCAAGTTGTTGCCGCTCATGTTGGCCACTTAGCCTAGAGGCAAGGTCCAGTCGAGTGAAGAGGCCGAGCTGATGCTGGAGGGGAACAGAGAAAAGGAGGCTGGCCACACTCAGCCCAAGGGAGCGCGCAGGCGCGCCGCCGCCGCCGATCGGGTCTGAGGCAGCTGCGGCTCCCGCGTCAACGTTTGGAAACCACTTTGGAAACCCGAGGCCCGCTCAGGATGACACAGTCGCCATTGCTGGCGCGTCGCGACGTCGCGGGTCGCGCCGACACGCCCCCAGTGGCGTCAATAGGGGCCGACGCGGGCCAGCGGCGTGGGGCCCCGGGGGCGGGGCTCTGGGGGCTGCGCTGCTGCTGAGCGGTGATGCTCAGCCGGGCTGTCCTGGCGCGGGGGCCGCGGGGAACGCAAGGCCTGCGGCCTCTTGGGAACGTTGGGCTCCGCGGGTTCCGCAGCGAGCCGGTAGCCCAAAGGCGTGGGAAGATTCCCACTCGGCCAGCGCCGAAGCAGGCGTCGAAGCGGCCGCCATCTTGGGGGAGTGGACGGGGCGGGCGGGACAGGTCGCGCTGCGACAGAAAGATGCGCCTCCTTCTCCCGGAGGCCCCTCCTCCGCGTGGGAAACAAGTCTTTAACTTGTTTCGTGAAGATTTCCCTAGGAGAGCCGGGTTAGCCCGAGCTCCTAGTACAGGGTCTGGTGTATAGTGTATGTGTCTGGTGAGTGAATGAATGAACGAACGAATGGTGAGTGGAAGGACCAACCTTCTCTCCAAGCTTCTGCTCCTTCCTTTATCTTTGCGGTACCTTCCTCAGGCTGGAGATGACTCTGGAAAGGAAGGGCAACAGTTGCCTGTCCCTTGTTCTCCATGATTCAGACTTGCTCAAGCTCCAAATCTGATATGTTACAAATATGTTACACTGTAACAACCAGTGTACACACCACCGTTCAGTTCAGTCGCTCAGTCATGTCCGACTCTTTGCGACCCCATGAATTGCAGCACGTCAGGCCTCCCTGTCCATCACCAACTCCTGGAGTTTACTCAAACTCATGTCCGTCGAGTCGGTGATGCCATCCAGCCATCTCATCCTCTGTCGTCCCCTTCTCCTCCTGCCCCCAATCCCTCCCAGCATGAGGGTCTTTTCCAATGAGTCAGCTCTTCGCATGAGGTGGCCAAAGTATTGGAGTTTCAGCTTCAGCATCAGTCCTTCCAATGAACACCCAGGACTGATCTCCTTTAGGAGGGACTGGTTGGATCTTCTTGCAGTCCAAGGGACTCTCAAGAGTCTTCTCCAACACCACAGTTCAAAAGTATCAGTTCTTCGCCGCTCACACCACCTTTACTGGCCCACTAACGTCGTTTTTTGATTTTTTTAGGGAAAAAGTGCATGTAATAGAACTTGCATGCATATTTATAGTATAGATAACATGAGTTTTATTAGGCTCATATAAGTTTTGCTAAATATTTCTTTTAGGATCCAAAAATAGTATATAGCTGTTTTCAGCAATGTGTTATTGGGCTTCCATTTCATTCCTGAGTAGGTTCACAGCACAGGTGATAATATACTAAGCAGCCCTGCTGCACGTGACTCTCTGAGCTCCTGCTGTATCCACAGGCCCTTCTGAGCAGGTGGCCAAAAGTTTATGTTTAGCTCCTGTGTGATCCAGTTGGAGGCCTGTGAGGTGACTTGGTAGGGTAACCCCGCATTCTAGACTGAGTTTGTCTCACTGAGCCAGAAAGCCTCTCCCAGAAAGAGGCATGAGTACGGAATGGGGGCATGGTCAGAGTAGTCTTCTGTGGCCAAGTTCTGTCTGAGTGAGAGAAGCTTAGGCAGTGATAGAGGGTCATTGAGTCACCACTGTAGTGGAGTTGGGAGCTAAACATGCTTGTATCTACGATAGCATCCTGTTTGGCCATTGGGCCCCACAGTTTCGTTGTTACTGTTTTAAAGAATGCTTTTGTCCCTGTGAGACCTGGTTCCTGTTTTTATTTCCTTGTGGATTCCTAGAATTAAACCCCTAGTAACTGAGTTAATCTGGAAGTATCTCTTTATAACCTGTTCCCACCCCCACCCCACCTCACCCCTGCAAGATTTTTTTGCAAGAAATAGTCCAGGTAACAAGCAAAAGCGGGGAGGGGTGGGTCCTTTGTTATTATAGAGATAGCAGGTACCTCCTGAAACTCCAGGACTGGAATGTAGACAGGGCTATACAAGGGGCTGCTGGACCCAGGAACCCAGAACCCAGTCAGCTGGCTTCTCCCTGACTATCCTCTTCATCCTTCTCTTGTTCTCTGTGAAGGGTGATCTGTGCAGTATTCCTGGCATAATAGGCCACCAGCTTCTTGGTGTATAAAAATTCATTAACATACAGAAGCAGAGACTACCTGGCCAGAGAAGTCACCTACCTGGCCTAGGAAATCTTTCTGGAAAATGACTGAGTTATACCAAACTAGAGGGTTTTTTTTTAATGGCCCATTCAGGCTCACTCTGTTGGGGGCTTTTTCTCTCCCCACTTTCTGTAATCCCAAGATTTAGTGCAAATAAAAGTAACTTCTTGTGACAAAAAAAGTGATGGACCCCCTGACTTAAGATGGTTATAATTGCAGAAATTATTTAAACCCAAATTTGCTATTGTCAGTAGGAATGCCAGTGTTCAATGTTTTGTGGTACTGTCAACCTTAATGACAAAATCTTAATCTAAGTTTGTGACTTTGTTTTCCTGCTTTGTGGCAGGAAAAAATTATTATGGTCCATTATTCTAAGTCTTGGGTCAGGGCAGACTCTGAGCAAAATTGAGAAGTATACAAAATTTATTTTTCATGTGTCCTTCCCCCACCCCACCCCCAATTTGGGACCCTGTCCGAAAAAAAATAAAAGAAATATTCCATAGTAACTTCTCTGAACACAATAGTCAGTGTGAAACAAACTGTGGATTTCTTGTAGGGTTAGCTCTGACAAGGATAATCTGTTTTTTTTTTTTTTAAAGACCACCCCATCCAAAACAAAAAACAAAGCCATGAATTTTAACCCCAATTAAATCAGTTTCTATCAGATCCCTAATTTACCTAGGGATTACTCAGGATGAAAAAATCAAAGTTTTTCGAGCTCTAGTTTTATCAACTGCTAAAAAGCTTGCTTAGCTTTTATTATCTGGTACTTTTGTCAAGCTATTTCTAAAATGTTATCCTTAGGAAAGGAAAGGTGTAATTTTTACCCAGAGTAAGGAAAATAGTAAGATATTTTGGAGTTTGGGGACTTGAAAATACCCTTTGGAGTTAAAATGGGTTCTCAGTGATATTCAGTTAGAAGTACTGTTTTTAGAATATAAAGTTACACAAAGTCATTGAAAACTTTATTTCATATTTATTTTTCTCCCCACTTATTACAACATCCAACTCAAAACAATATTAAGACAATTCTAACACCCCTTACTTTAAGTAAACCAATTTTGCTTAAATGTAAACTCTAGTGTTAATATTATATCCCCTTTACAAGCCACATCTTTAAGCAAAAATTCACAGTTACACAAGCCATTTAAAGAAAGCTCAAAGCTATCAAAAGCACACCCCAAAGTCAAGTTTTTTAAAATACGAATTTAACTATTGACAGTTAAAGGCTTTAATTTGCCCCAGAAAAACATTTTCTGAAACCACAGATCTAAAACTGACACATCTATTGACAAGTTTTTTGAAATAACATTTATTACCACTTTATAGTGTTAGCAAGTAGGAACAGAGGATAGAAAATCAGAACCTTCCATCTGATTTCCAAGAGCAGAGATTAGTTAGGTCACACTCTTATTAGAGGACTTAGGCACACATCAGCGTTAAGATAGTCAAGCAGAAAGATGATCTGATAACAACTAAACACCCAGGTGTTAGGGATTTCACGTGGTACTTCTGCATTTTTTAGAAAGAGGGCACTGCTTACCAGAAAGAAATGAAGTTTCTTAAAAGATGAATTTCAGATAGTGACAACCTCACAGACTTTTTGACAGGGATCCTTCTTTGGAGCCCTCAAATGACACTAAACATGGCCAGTGATTCTGCCTATGAAGGAGATAGGTTCTTCACAGTATCTGTGAAAGATAACTTTGCCCAATTATCAGTTACTGGAAGGTGTAACTCCAGAACTACCTTAAGTCAGTAAGTGCTGACCTAGTAAGGCAAACACCCAGTCCCAGATCCTTACTTAACAATGACCCCTCAACGCTGTCATTGCCAGTGCACAACTTTAGTTCCAATGGAACAGAGATTAATGGAAAAGGGTAGTCAAGAACAAATTGTGTGAAATTTTATTTTTTAGGACTTCATTTTTTAAAGAAAATTGCAGAAGAGATGTTTTACTTCTCTTTGATCCCTGTTTCATATGCAAAGTATAATCTCTAGATTTACACCACATAATAAACACAAACAGTTTTATGTAAATCACAAGAGTATATGAGAAATTATAAGCATCAGAGATGTGATGGAAACATATTAGGTTTTTAAGTGCCATGTGTATTTCACTTCACCTCCTATTTGGCCTCTGACATAGACAAATGTGTCACTATAGCTAGTGAGGCTCCATTTTATTTAGAAAGCCCAGTAATGTTAATGCTTACATTGATGAAAACTATGATTTGTCTGATCCTTCCCTCCTAAGATTTCACCGCAATTTACAAACCATTGAAAGTCCTGACACCATATACCTACACATAGCTCAGAGTTGAATAGACACTCTGGGAGGAAAAACTACCATTTTTAATTGAAAAGCTAGACTCTGTCATCTTCCTTCTTCACACTGCAGCCAGTGAACAGGGACACACTAATTTCAGACATCTGAGTGCTTGCAGCACCCGGGACCCTTCCCGTCACTGCTAGGTTGTCAAGAGGGGTATTAGCGGCAGGAGGGTCAGGCACCCCTGCCTTGCAACAGCATAACTGAGCTTTAAAATGCTGCTGGAAGGTATTGCTCAGCCAGTAAAGAGCAAAGGGGTTTACACAAGAATTGCTGAAAGCCAGAATCCGGGAGATGGTGGTGACAATTAAGTGAACGGTAGAGGAGTCCGTATAGGTTTGAGAAGTGAATGAGTGGTAGAGATACAGAAGATGGTTCGGCAACCAGCAGAGAGCAAAGAGAGCCACCAGTACCAGAACTGTTCTGGCAATTCGCTTCCGGGATTCAATCTAGAGAGAGAAGAAAAATGGCAGCAACAACAACCAGAAACCAAGAACCCATTGACAAAACAAACACAATACCCACAAAAAGAAAACACTGAGCTGGCAGAG